TTCGTATTTATGGAAATCTTCTTTCGAAAGAAACTTTGCATACTGTATTGTACTCACTTTCCCGGTACAATATCATCTTCGAGCCATTCGACAATCCAAAGCATCCACAATCCATGGAGTACAGATTTCCTCCGTTCCATAAAGATGTCCACCTCACAAAAAGCGTGGTACGTCCTGAAATACGACCAGAATGACTATTACAACGCATTCTTCTTATAAAATTGTTACAGTTATATGGCACGTTCAGAATTTGAAGTTCACACACCGGAAAACAAAATTCGACAGCCAATACGCGATGAAGATGTCAATGGTGTAGTGAGTCCGCGAGATGATCAAACAAATCATTCCGATGGCGGTGAACAAATGCGGAATCCACTGGAAGAGGCCGCCATTTTCCGCTTTTCGGCCCGGCCCCCAAAAAAAAGTAAGGCGCCTTTTTTTTTTAAAACCCCCCCGCGACTGCAAAGAGCCGCTTGTCACCATGAATCAGGCCGTCTCCTTTTACTGTTGCTTTTTTTTGATTTTTCCCGAAGCAGATTGGGTTGAATCTTACCGAGAAACATTAGTTCGAAATCAATCTACAGCCTCTACGGCGAAAGATACGATCGGCGCCTGTGGGCAGCAGGATAAGTGGTGTTGGGGAGATAAGCCGTTTAGACAGAGCGAGCACCCGAAGTAAAGCGTGAATTATAATGTTCCTGCCGTAGTCACGTACAATGCTCGTCGCATCGACGCGATTTGAGCGTGCATCCTCCACTCTACATGAACGGCGCTCAGTATAGTTGGCGGGTTGGCTCGACATATTCTCTCCTTTGAGAGAGCGCAGAGAAAACGAATAGTGGGAGGCGAGCACGCACTTCAGCGCGTCAATGCGTCGCGCATTGTACGTGACTACAGCAGAACATTATAATTCACGCTTTACTTCGGGTGCTCGCTCTGTCTAAACGGCTTAAGTCGTGTGGAGAGAAAGTTCGAAAATCTAATGTTCTTTTTCGAACACGCTCCCGTCTCATGCACATACGAAAAGCAAGGTCGTGGTCACCCGCCATCACGAGCACCCTTTCCCCTCTTCCTGCTCCCACCACCATGATTGTCCCTATAGCAATTATGAAATAATTTCGAGAAAAACTCTCAAAAATGACACTGCCCCTCTCCGCCTTCCGCAACACCCTCAGAGACAGTTTCCATCAGCACCTCCTCCCTAACATAACAACCAGCTCCTCACTATAAATCACAAGCAAGAAATGCGGCGACGTCCTCCGAAAGAATTAAATACAACCCTATCTCCACCCCTCTTCGCTTATGGTACTGCAACGGACAGCTTACGCTTGTTGGGTAGGAATGCGGCGTGGCGTATAACCGCTCAGCGTTCTGAGCTCAAAATACAAATTAGGCCAGCGTTCTGAGCATGCAATGAAAAATACGTCTAGCCAAAACAAATCAACTTACGAATAATAAATTCGCCGTCGGTTGCGGAACTCTTTCGCTCATAAATTTCATAAAATAAGGAGGAAAAGATCAAATTGATCATTGTTTTGAAAAATATTAGATCAAAAAACTCACCATAGTCAGACTGTGACCGGAGAACAGCATATCGCCACACAGCATCTTCGTTTTTTCCTGCACAAAAAAAACTTTGTGAGGATGGCTTATATTACAATGTAATTCATCCACGTATTAGTTTGTTTTTGATCAATAATTGATTAATTAATTAATTAGCTTGTTTATTTACTATTTTCTTTCTAGGTAATTTAAGCGTTTTCTTTTCAAAATGGTCAGTTGTTCTGCTTCTGTCTGCGACCCCTCGCGCTGCTTATGGCAAGCCGCAGATTATTGCTATTAAGGTAGCGCTTGCTCTGAGGCTGTGAGCGAGTAATTTTACGTGAGGCCGAGTCAGACTTTGCAAATGTAGCGATTCGCTTTAGCGTCAGTTATGGGCGCGATGCGAGTCGAAAGCCGTCTGCGATTCGCCAGCTTCGGACGGACCGCGGACCAGGGTCAACCCTATGTTGCGCATAGTACCAACGGCTCGGGGGGGTCGTATTTTGGTGTGTTGGGGTAGGGGGTCGTACTTGCTATCGTTGTAAGAAGTGGCATGTGATGAGAGGGGAGCGGCGCGGGAGAAAATTTACCGTTTCAGCGCGCGTATATACCCCCCCCCGCTCGACGGTAATTTTGGAGGAAAAAGTGGGCGGAGTTTGGTGGGTTGAGTGGTACCAATAATAGGACAATAATTGGAGTAGTCGGAAGGGGGTCGTATCGAAATTCACCTTGGGGGAGGGGGTCGTGAAAATTGGAATTATTACCAACGATAGGACCGACCTGCGGGACGTAGGAGTCGCTCGTATTCGAACAAAGTATGACATATTGGCCCTAGGAAGGCCTAGACGGGAGCAAAAATTGAATCGCTTGAATATCGCAAAAATTCGTGTCGTATGTTTGAGACACATCCCTGCTCTTCGACAGATTCTCGTCGACGCTGTGTGGCGGTCCCAATACTAAACTGTTCGGTCGTGCATACTGATGTCTGTCTGCAATGATGTTTTCAGTTCAACATATGCATAAATCATTAGTCGGGGAATCTCCGTGTGACATCAGTTCGTCACTCGTCACTATTCCACAAAAACAAGCACACGGGGCATAATACAAGTTCTTCGAAATGAAACAGAAGTACTTGTCGATGTTGGTGACAGTTGATGCGAAACATGAGCTTCTGCTCAAGGAAAGGGGGGGTGAACCCTAGTGAGACGAGGAAGTTTACGCTTAGTAACAGTTGGTATGATCAAGTGCTCGAAATAGAGAATGAAAGTAGAGCTATTAATGGGGAAAAAAGAAGTGTAGAAAGAATGAGGAAAATGGCTTGATCTCTTCGCAAATATAAATCCTCGTTTTTCCCCTGGACTTCCATATTGGACGAGTCTCTTCGGTGCGTGTTCCCTTACGCGCCCTCCTCTGCCACGAAGCTCCACCTCTCCTTCAGGAGACCAGCACCTTTTATAGCAGCCCCATTCTCCTTGAAGACTGTCCCAATTTAAGTGCTCTGCCTATAAAAGGCTCCTATATACTTACTCATTCAAATGGGATTCTCTTACGGAACCAGAGCCAGCTACATACAACTGTGGGATCACAGGAGAGGAAAGAAGCAATGTGTACGCCTAACATCAGATCGTGAGTCGTGGATTATATCCCTACTTTTTTGACAGATACCTTTAAAAAGTAATAAAAAATTCCCTTCATTTCCGTTCAGGGCAACCTCTAGTGCCGCAGATGGGCAGGTAAGGTCAGGACAAACTTTCCACTTCCACGACATATTTTGAATTGTTGGTGTCAACTCCAAATATTAGAGTATACATAGAGCAAGGCGTTCATTTCTTGAAACGGGGAGGTTCAGAAGCGGGCATTCAAAAACAGCTGGTGGGCTGGCACTAGGACTAAGCCCAAGTGAGGGGAGAAACGCCAGGGAGACCAAAAATGGCTGACGTGCCCTCCCAAAATACTTTCATCTCCCTAAAGCTTAGCCCAGGTACTGTGAGTGGCTCTCTCACCTGAATGTCTTCCTTCCCCCCCCAACGACATGAGCGCTTGGAGGAGTTTTCTGAATGTATGCAGCTTCTCCAAAGAGTTGTCTTTCTTCAATAAAGTCAGGAATATGTAGTGGAGCTTCTGTCAGGCCCTTCTAACAAAGAGAAAGGTTTAGATGCTCAGCGGTTAGAGACAGGTGTCCAAGATATAAGCCAGTGAATGGATCCATTTGTGCTCTCTTTTATGAAAAGGTCGATATTCATCCCACAACATATTTCTCGTATGCTGTGGAGCGCACACATAAATTGTCTATGAAATTGATTGGATATCTTATATATAAATTATAAACACTAGATTATATAAAGTTTCTATTCGAACATCATCGAAAACACTCAAACACGATGGTGCTATCGCAAGATACGGGGGCAACCTATAGGACTAAGCTCAAGGGGGTAGGAAAGAATAGTGAAGTAGAAGGATCGCTCACGCAGTCTGGAGACTGTTATCCACCAAAGCTCAGCTCTCGTTTCTGACAAAAAGGGATGTTTTAGGCGGTTTGAAGTGTCACCTTCACAATGCCCCTGCATCTTGCGATCGCGCTAGACGAGTATAAATAAGCACCTGGAATCCTGCTCGAATCAATTGCTCAGCGACTCTGGACAAAAATATGCTGAAGGTGATGTTCACTTGCTCACGACATCGCACTTCGTTGTTTTCATAACCTGAAATAATAAAGGAGTCAGTCACTGATTCGTAGACTTGAAATTTTTCTGAAAGCCCTTGGAACGTTTGAAAAGTTGAAGACGGATTGAAGGAAGATCTAATCTAGTCATCGGCGAAGGTTTCCATGAACCCCTGATCGCAGAAGTCGGCGAAGGATTGGAGCAGCCCATGTAAATTCAAAGGTACTAGCCGACCGGGTAAGAGGAAGGACTGCCACACGGACACGGTTGGACGCCTTCAAGTCGTCAGAGCTTCTCCTCTCGGCATGCAGGGTCTTGTTCGCACTGTCTGTCTAGTTCTCCATCATCCCTGTTGTCACTTCGGGATGATACTCGCACGACAATCAGTCTTCGATTGCATGGTAGGACCTGCACGAGTACGGCAGGCGCCTGACGAATAGGTCGTGCAGAAAACCCCATTTCTTCACGGCCTAAACCCTTATCTTTGGGTTCTATATATGGCCAAAACCAACTGATACCCGCGGCCATGAAAGGGCAACAGTATCGTCAACCAACCACATGTACTTTGCTTCCGGAAACCAGATGCGTGTCGAGTGCGGATCACACACCACAAGTGACGGCTTTCACAATATGTGAATGTTTATTGTGAAGAAATTGAAAACTATTCTATTTATTCTAGCCGGTATTCTATCAGTTGTAACTAATTACAGCCATCATTTATCAACTACCAGCTATCACTATAAACCACCAGTAACCAGGTTTACTTAAAGGCCGTCGTCACTTATGGTGGCTGTGAATCCCGGGCAGGTGCTGATTTTGGGAATGCTATGAGTATATATAACCACTGACAACTAAACCTGAAGTTAACTTGATGTACCACGGAGCGTGGAACAGAGCGGACAGGTAGAGCGTGGGCGCCGCGATGAATAGAAAACGGCGAGCGACAATCGCTCGCGATTGATGAAAAACGAGCAGAAGGCAGAAGCAGGTGAGTGTGGCCAACACCATGTAATCGCCTAGACGAGAGGCCCATTCCTGTTCGGGAAACAACGAGAACAGGAATGTCTGGCAGAGGTTGCCTGAAAAAAGTTGATTGAGCTATGGTTCGTTCATAAAGGGTCATTCATTTGTGTTTCCTGTAGATTGCGCCACGCATCCCACCTTACATAAGAAATGCACTTGCAGTTCAATCCCGGATTGTTTACCTCACTCTGTCTGCCTACTAACACTAACAACGAAAGAATAGATATTGATCTATCACATCGAAGATCGAAAATCTTTCTAGACGATAACGCAAAGTTAGGGGGCATGCGGTGGCAATGCATTTAGAATCGCGTGAAAGAGTTAAAAGCGAGAATAAACTCAGTTGGGTAGGGAGACTCCAGGAAGCGTAAGCGGTCTTCGTTTTCCCCGAACTTTCTGCCATTCCCAGGATTTGTTTTAGAGGACGCCTCCGTACATTGGGATAGCTCCCCATTCTGATAGGCACGCGCTAGAAGCGGTATGAAGCCAAAAACCGTTTTTGAAACTTTCGTGGTTTGGGTATAATCGTTTGAATTCCAAAATTTAAAATACGAGTAAACGGCGGCGAAGCTCCACGTTGGCAAATCAAAACGAGCTCAACAGGGAGAGGACAATATGTGGCCCTTGTAGTGCATTGGGTTAGCACGTTTCTCAAAAGAGCGAGGTCCGGGTTCGTCACCTGACCGAGGTAATTATGTATTTTGTACAAAATATGCACCATTCCGAGTGAAAAAAAGTAAATCAAAGTTAGGCGCTATAGCAAGAAACGGAGGAAGGGGCAGGAACGTCGTGGAAAACGAGAATTGTCAACGCACCCTGGAGTCTCTCCTTCCTCGTCTAAGGGCCAAAGGCCCATTGTTCACAAAAAAAACGTGTTTCTTAAAAACATTTGCCATCACAATGCCCCGTATTCTTGCAGATATCACCCTAAAAGTAAATTTTCAAATAAAGCTAAGAAGCAGAGATATTTGGGAACTATACCTCGTGGCAAAGTCATGCGTATAGGCGACCACAGCCCCCAGTTACAAAGGCCGGCGATTATGAAATAGACAAAGAGAAAGAACCATTTGGCCAGTTGACATTGTGACATGATGGCCGTCGAACTGACGAAGACGATATTCCGTCGGGTACCGTGTCGCGACGTCTTCTGAAATACGTCAACTGATTTCGAGCGTAATAACTTCGACTTAACAACCCGACAAAATGCTTCAGTTATACGACGAGAACCAACGAACACGAAGTTACCAAACACCACAAATCCCCCCCCCCCCTTTCTAGCATTTTTTGGCGAATACCGATCCACTAAACCTTGCCATTGTGATTCTCCAGGGCCTTATAGCGGAAATGTAAGCCACCCATAGGCACAATACATCGACGAGAAACCACTACCTGAAACGAAACGCCGTAATAACATTCGAAAACGATTATCGATTGCCACGTTGGCTGATACTCACTGGCTTACCACTTACAATTGTTAGTGCCGTGTTATTAGAGCCCATGAGCGGTATGTTCCCCTAGTGATAGGAAGGCAAAAGGCGGGGTCGCGTCCATACTCATCGTTTTGGAAGAATAGGAGAATTGAAGAAGAGAAAGTCGAGAGCCGATGAGAGAAAGAGATTAGATACGTGTCCACTGAAAATAGAACATCAGGAGAATGAGGGTATGGCAGCAGAATAGGAGAATAGAAAATCAGGAAAAGCGATAAATCGGCGCTGGCTAGAACTACGGGGGCATAGTTGTGGCAAAGCATTCAAAACCGCGTGAAGCCTCTTTGGAGCGGAACTATCCTTTAGGTGGGAGAAGAGAGGCTCGAGAGAGCGTGAACAATTTTCACTCTTCCCCGAAATTTGCCTCCGACTATGCCGCCCTCGATGATGCCCCCGTATCTTGCGATAGCGCCGATAAATCAATTTGCCCTGTCTTTTTCGTAATAACTTCGTATAGCATACATTATACGAAGTTATTGCTATCCTGATCAAATAACTTCAAAGGAATTAAACCAGTAAAGCGGTGCCACCACATATAATAAAGTATGACCAAGCTTGAGATCAACACTCAGCGTTTCGACAGAATAGAAGAGCCAGAGAGTAGCAGAATAGGGAATACGCAAAAAGATGAATGCGTTTCGACTAGGAAGATAGGACTAGAAGTTTGCGAATACGACAAGTCATTAATATGAACTCTTTCCGTATTCTGCTGTTCTCCTATCCTCCTGATCAGTGGAACTAATCAATGTTATATAATACTTGTCGAATTATTCTCTCCTTGACTGATGACATTGCACGCTTCGATGCGCAGGGTAGTATATACTCTTCAAATGCTGCCACAATAACCGCGATCAAACACCTAAGAAGGGAGGCTATTTCAGGGAAGGTGCGCTTTTTCAAAAGAGGTGAGGGTTTCATGGATATTGTAGTGGCAACGCCGTAGAGAACGCAATAACTTTCGCTGAGCGGTTTTAGCAGTACCAGAAAAAAAGCATAAGGTATTGTTAATGGTTCGATCCCCATGGCGACTAAATTTTGCATTTGGGTTGGCGCCTTCGAATTGGTGCCAAATCGCGCCAAATGTCACAGTCAGGTGTCGCATAAAATGTTCAAAAGTCATCGTCAGGACCATTTTGAAGCCAACAAGTGGCCGCCAACCTTGATTGCAAAATTTAGTCGCCGCGGGGGATTGAACCATAAAGAGTATTATTCACCACTTTTTTGGTACTACTAAAACCGTTCAGCGAAAACGAAACATGGTTTTGTGGTTCCATATATGCGTCCCTACAACATGTACAAACCGTTTTCAAAAAGCGCACCCTGCCCTGAAAGACCTAGTACCTTGTTAGATATGACCAATCCCCTCTAGAGTGCGCCACGCATTCTGGTTCCATTCTGAATCAACAACGGCCTTTCAATTTATACTCCAATATTAAGCCCTGTTCAAACAGTCATGTACTTATTATGACTTTTTTGTCTCCAGCTAGGCGATCCTATACCATCAATCCAATGTGGGGAAAAGCCCAAAGACGGCCTACCCTCACCTCAACCCTTCCACACAACGATGCTTTCAAATTAAGTTTTTAAAAGGTCCGCCAATGTCGTGGAGTCGAAAACATGTTGACCCTAATCAGACTCTATAGTTCAAAAGATTAGCGATGAAGCGGACAGCGGACACCAACAGGCGGGGAGTGTTTTGTCTGGACGGAAATCCGGGCCCAGCAAAGTGTTTCGGTAGACTCGAAGAATAAATAGAGACCGAAAACTCGTCCATAAGTTTCCCGTAGAGCTTAGGGCGCATGGTAATACCACGGCATAAGATAAACAGAGAGACACATCGAAAATGCTCGGTCAGAAAAGGTCGCAAGCACATGCTTATCATCGAATCACTAACAATCAGCCCTTATCATATTCCAATAAGAACTGCCCTTTGAACATTTCGCTTTCCCTTTGTCACAGTCACCAGCTTCTTAAATGCTTAGTCATGAATTTATGAAGAGAAATATCTACTTCAAGAGGGGAGGAGTGAGCGAACATAATCTGATCTATCGCAAGATATGGGGGCATCTTCTAAGGATAAGCGTGGGAAGAAGAAGGAGCTTCGTGGAAATGAGAAACTGCTCAAACTTGCTGATGTTTCTCCTTCCGCCTTGAACCAGTTTTTGATAGAAAAAGGAGATCTTAGGAGATGTATCACGCTGTGCAAATGCATTTTCACCACAATGCCCCCGTATCTTGCGATAGCGCACATCTTTCTGTAACTGAATACACCTCCCGATCGGAAGCTTCCATGGTCTAGTTTGGTTACAGTAACCCAGACTACAGTGGATTTCCATGATTCAAATGATCTCACTAATTTACTACTTTGGATATACTGAAGCCATTTTTCCAACATATGCAAAAACATTACCAGATAAACAAAGCGCATATATCGTCCTATACTAAGGTTTCATTGAGGTTTCGGTTACTTGCTACTCTGGTGAAGGTTACCTTACTGGATTTACTATGCTTCTTTGCTTTTCTATTTAGTTGGATCACAGCAAGTGTCACGGCAAATAAATAGATAATTAAGTAAGTAAATAAATAAGTGTAACAAAAATATAAGCAAAATGCTTTCGTAATATATGTATAGTAAAATAATAAATATGAAAATATAGACGTGCTACCAAGTCACCTGTGACTGTATGTATAAGTGGAGAAGCTTCGAGAATAACTTCTGCAAAATGAGTTGTGACTATGGGATCATAGAGCGAACATCGGTCCCGATCATGGGATAATAGCAACTAATTGGAGTCAGATGAGAATAATGGGGGAAAAATTGACTTCCGCATAGCGAAAAGTATCAGCTAACAAAAAAATCACAAGCATAAAAAATGTAAAAAAAATAACAGAGCACTGCAGAGGTAATCTAACGAGGGAAAGCGCTGGGAAACGCACTACAACCTATCAGAATAGCCACTTCCTTCAGTCGCTTTGTGGGTCTAAGTGAGCTCGAAGATGTACCCGTAGGCTTTATAGGGAACAAAAAACCACTCGTAGTACCCATTTTACTAGAAGAGTATCCTTTACTGTAAAAATGGGAAAGCCTCAAAAAAAGGTCGCAAAATTGAAAGTGGGGAGCCGAAGTACCACTAGACTTTTATAGCAAATATATAAAATTCAGAATGGATATGTTCATGAGGGCTCCCAGTCACGAAAGGAAGAGTAGAGGGGGAAGGTTGCCTGGGAGCACCATTGCTCGTTTGCATGAGCGCTTTGTCGATCTCTGCCCTCAAGCAACTTTGCCTACAATCACCCATAATCACATGAAGCTTCACGCGAACACTTACAGGCGATCTCATTGAACTGAGAGCCCACGTCAGAGAACACAGAAATTCTCTTTTCACAAGTACCAATAAAGACAAGTGCATGGCGCATAAAATTTGAGGACGATCGTAACTATTTCACATTCAAATTTATTATTTATGCGCGACGTTAATTGCTTATTTCAAGTTCGAATTTTTTCAGACGGAATGTTCCAACTAGTCTCCTGACGAGTTCCTTCTACTGGTATGACTAGGGAAACCCTGAATTGACAACCTCAATACACTCCAAAAACTGCACGGACGTTGCTAGGAGGAAGTTCCACGTTTGGTGGGCAAGATGGCCTTTTCCCACGTGAAGTAAGCGCAGGGATAACTTGCTACGGGCAATCTAACATTGAAATGACCACATATAAAGGAAGGCATAGCCTATTCATGTTGGTTGAATGCCTCAGAATACGCCACATACTCGATTTGCATTCTGAATCATTGTA